GAAGTTTGGTCCTTAAGGGGTTAAACACATATTCTGCTAGAAAATCTTGGCACCAGTGGGACAATAATTTTCCACTCATGACAATGTTAAACTAATTAACTTAATTTTGTAGTGCACTCTTCTTCTAGATAAATAGGACTTTCTGCTCATATCTATAGATCTCATACTTTATTGATAAAGTGATCTTACGGGCATTAGCTTCTCTCTGTAGAATTATTCTTATTTCTTTCAAGTGTGGCTTTTAATCTTTGTATATGCATCAGAGAATTGTTGGACATCTATTTGTTCATTATTAATTAATTAGTTGAAGGCTGGAAAGAGACTCCTCTTTGATATAATTACATGTTTGCCACATAGTTATGCTTGAAATGTCAAATTAACACTAATAAAGATAGTGTTTGTTTTTACACTGTTTCATTTGTTAGTGCATTCCAGTATATTGCATAAATTAAAGCATTCTTAAGCTATTTTTCTTTATCAAAGAAGTATTTGCTAACTCTAAAGTGTTGTCGTATTCAAGGTAAAAACGGAAGGTAAGAAATGCTTGTTACACCTGGAGAGTTGTATTTCACATCAACTGAGTGAACAATGGCAGGGGAAAAAGTAGGGCAGTAAAGAAAGCTATATTTATATATATTTTTTTAATATATTTAATTAATATATAATATATAAATATGTATATGTATATAGTATATATTATGCAGTAACTCCCATTTTCTCTCCCTTTTAATTCATCTAGTTCTGTTTAAACCAAAAATTATTCAGCTAAATCAAATTTTCTCGCCATGCAAAAGTGTAATGTTTATTTCAACCAGTTCTCAAATTAGTACTTATATTGCTAAGGACGCAACTAGACAAGTGCAATGGTTCGGTCTGAATGGAAATTCGGATGAATTTCACACATTTGGACATTCGGACACTTCCGAATGTCTAAATGTCTGAAGTGCCGAATTTTGGAAGTGCCAAACCGAATTGCCAAAGTGCAGAATTGCTGAAGTGCCGAACGGAACCGAATTGCTGAAGTGCCGAATTTCGGAGGTGCCGAAGTGCATCGGATATCTGAAAGGGGGCAAAACGGGTAGGAGTAGGATTGGAGTTGGGGTAAGGTTAGGGATAGCGCTTGGGGTAGGGTTAGAAGTAGTGTTAGTGGTAGGGTAGGGTTAGGTTAGGAGTAGGGTTAGGGTTGGGTTAGGAGTAGGTTTAGGTTAGGGTTAGGGTTTGGTAAGGAGTAGGGTTAGGGTTTAGAGTAGGGTTCGGAGTAGAATTAGGATTAGGGTTAGGGTTGGGCTAAGTGTAGGGTTAGAGTTAGGGTAGGGTTAGGAGTAGGGTTTGGGTTAGGGTTGGGTAAGGAGTAGGGTTAGTGTTTGGTTAGGGTTAAGAGTAGGGTTAGGGTAGCTCTATTCCCAAACCTTACACTACTCTAACTATAACCATAACCCAACCCTAAACCTACTCCTAACCCTACAACAAACCCTAACACTAAACCTAACCCAACTCCGACCCTAACCCTACCCTAACCTTACTCCTATCCCTACTCCTAACCCTACCCTAACCATAACCCTAATCCTAAACCAACCCTAACCTCAACCCTACTCCTAACCCAACAGTACTCCTAAACCTAAACCAACCCTACCCTACTCCTAACTTTAACCCTACTCCTAACCCAACCCCTAACCCTACTCCTAACCCTAATCTTAACACTACTCCTATTCCGAAACTTATCCCTAAACTTACCCTAACCCTAACCCTACTCCTATTCCTAAGCCTATTCATAACCCAAACCTAACCCTACTCTTAACCCTAACCCTACTCCTAACCCAACCCTAACGCTACTCCTAGCCCTACTCCAAACCCTAACCTTAACCATAACCCTACTCCTAACCCTACTCCTATTCCTAACGCTAACCCTAACCTAATCCAACCCTACCCAACCCTAATCCTATTCCTATTCCTAACCCTAATCCTTAACCCTAACCCTACTCTTACCCCACATTAATACTAACCCTAACCTTAATCCTAACCAAACCCTAACCCTAATCCAACCCTAACCCTACTCCTAACCCTAACCGTAACGCTACTCCTATTCCTAACCCTAACCCTAATACAACCCTACCCCTAACCCTCCTCCTTACCCTAACCCTACTCCTAACCCAACCCTAATCCTATTCTTAACCCTAACCCTACTCTTAACCCTAATTCTACTCCTAACCCAACCCTACTCCTAACCCTAACCTTAACCCTAACCCTACCCCAATCCTAACCCAGCCCTAACCCACCAACTAACCCTACCCCTAACCCTACACTTACCCGAATTGCCATAGTGCCGAAGTCCCTAAGTCCTGAGTCCCAATGTCCCGAATTTCGGAAGTCCCGAAGCGAAGTGCCGAATTCCTGAATTTCGGAAGTGCCGAACCAAAGTGCCGATTTCCCGAATTTTGGAAGTACCGAACCAAATTTTTTGCCCATGCACATCCCTAGAAGCAACTGTACCATAATATTTTATGGATATATTTTATAATATAATTTCTAATTGCCTTTTATTGTTTCTTATAGTTTTTAAATGAACACAAACATTAGCCTGGAGGGCGGAGCCAACCTTGGAGCTTAATGGGCACATTTTAACGTCGCTCTGAGATACCCTGCACACGATCTGACTTAATTGGGCGACACAAGCCCAACCCACCCCGGCAAACATCCACCTGGAAAATTTGGGGCCCTGACTAAATGTTTCTGTGATAATGCAGACTCCGTTCCTGGCGAGACAGGCCCCAATATGTTGCCAGAATCCTCCCAGGATGGATCAGCACCATCGAGCCCAGAAGGCTCAGAAGGCTCTTACTATACTACTGACCTGGGGATTAGAGAAGCCCTTCACAACTTACCTTTGAAGCATGATCTAGCAGCGATGTTGGGGAAGCTGGAGTTGTCATTTCAGACAAAACTGGAAATTAAAGGGGTGGGCATCCGCCATATTGGAGTAAGAGTGAGTACATTGGAAGATGACAGATCTCATCCACACACAGCTGCAGCAAATGCAGAGCTCGATTGATGCCCAAAATACCTACTTGTCACACTTGCACAAATCCCTAGACGACGTAGATAACAAGGGCAGGTGTAAGAACCTGCGCATTAAAGGCCTCCCCGAACAAGAGCAAGAGAATCTAACAGCGAAACTCACTGAACTATTTAACCTGATTCTGAGTAGAAATCCAAATACGCAGGTGCTGTTAGACAGGGCACACAGAGCCTTAAAGCCTAGGGGAACAGCCTCTGACTCAGTAAGAGATGTAATCTGCTGAATCTCTCCTTGAAGGAGGAAATCCCCCGGGCACTAAGGCAGCCCTCACAACCATTATTGTTGCATAACACCCCCATCCAAATCTAGATATAGGTGAGGATTTATTTTTGCCCTAATTACACCTCATAATGGGACTTCACACTCTCTAACCTCTTTCCAGGATGTACCCGCCTTTGCCCAAGTTCTGGACTTACTGGTTATGCACATACTGGACTGGTATGGCCCAACCATGAAACCACCCCAGCCTCGTCTCCAACAATGCCCTCACTGGCAAACACCTTCCAAGAGACTGAGGAGCGACCAAAGTGGTGCACCACATCAGAGATTGTCAAGAAGCACTCCAACCTCTACTTAAACCCTGTGGATTACAATGAGCAGACTACTGTCACCAGATTGGACTCCTACAGACCACCCTCCATGCTATCTTATGGGACAATGTGAGGTTCAAAAAGTCCAAATAACTACTCTAATTCCTCCCTCCCTCTCTTAACCGGGACTTTGGACTCAGCACCCGGGGGGGGGGGGGACTCAGCATTACAGGCAAGCTTGGACAGTTGATTACCGTCCATCATCCTGTTTAATACACCCAAAAAATGTTCTTTAGCCTTAACTGAGTTCCACAAACTGAAAGCAGATGTGGTTTTTGTCCAGGAGACACACTTTAGAGAAGATGCCGCACCTACATTCTGTAACAGAAAATACCCAGTTGGTTATTTCAGTAACTTCACAGGTACCAAATCAAGTGGGATAACCATTCTCATATGAGTTCACATGCCCTTTACCTACATCTCACATTTTACAGATGGCAATGGTAGACTCATTATGGTGAAAGGTCAGATAGGGTAAAACATAGTCACATTTGCCAACCTATACCTCCCAAATAGGAAACAAGGTAGAGCGCTGAGAAAAAGCTTGAAAGCCATTGAATCCTTCCAAGAGGGTCTTCTAGTAATGGGGGGTGACCTCAAAATCTCACTAGACTCAACACTTGACACCACCTCGCAGGCTACAATGTACCAATCATCAGCTAGGAAACAAATCAATTCCTTACTAGACTCACCCATCTTCCAGGGACTACTCATATTACTCACATGTCACAGGATCATACTCCAGGCTTGACATGCTTTTCATACCTCACAGATTCCTTCATTTAATAAAAACATGCAATTATGGTCCTATCACCTGATCGGATCATGCAGCCTTGACCTTGACCATTCTCATCCCCTCACTCCCACTCAAAACATTCCAATGGAAGCTCAATTACCTATTGCTCAATGACACAAACATCACCTCCCAAGTAGATGATACATTAAAACACTACTTCATTTGCTCGATACACAAACAAAAAATAAATTATTACTGACAAAACATAAATAATACTCTCAGGGAGGCAAATGTGGCAGACTGTTAGCTAAAATGTTACAGAATGCCCGACAAACTACATTCATCTCCAAAATTAAAATGAAGGGGGTCATCTCCCACAACCTTCCAGACATACTCACAGCATTCTATGAATTCCACTCCTCACTCTATAACTTCAGACAAACCCCACCCAATGTATGCAACATTGAACAATACCGTACAGACCATCTGTAACGGACCACCTGGCACCCCGACTGGGCATCTCTGTCAATGGATGCTTCCTAGTGGATGCCGTGGACTATAAGCACCGCACCGTACACCATCAGCACCGCAGACTGCGCAACCGCCGTAGCTTAACTGGAGTCTCGCCGTCTTCCTCCCACCCTGGACCAACTGCTGACATCCAGGACCATGTGAGAAAGATCTCTCCTCCAGGAGAGCGTAACAGGAATAGCTCTTACAAGAGCTAGTGATTATCCAAGGGAGTATAATGAGTATAGCAATCCCTGGTAGTGATATAGCAGCTCCCTACAGTAAGAGACAGAACTCAGTATTGAGGGTGAGGAGGTCTGAAGGTTTATTGGTACAGGTTGGATTTATATACAATTCCTTTTGCCAGGGGAACACCCCCTGGACCTGATGGGGCACCGAATTACAAATTGTACAGTCCAATAAAAACAATGTAACAATGAAAGACACTCCCACATACAGTAAACAATCCCTCTCAGCCCCTTTCCCCACCACAGCCTCTGCCCCTTCTCTCAGCCCATGTTCCCCCACCACAGTCCCTGTCCACCATACCACAGCCTCTGTGCCCCCCACCAAAGATTCTGTGTCCCCTCTCAGTTACTGCCTCCCCCAGCCACTTCCCTCCCTCATTCATCCCCTGTGCCCCCACAAAAGCCCCTGTGCCCCTTCTCAGTCCCTGCCCCCTCTTCCAGCCCCTGTGCCTCCCTCTAAGCCCCTGTTGCCCATTACAGCCCCTGTGCTACCTGTCAGCCCCTTTCCCCCCAACCACAGCTTCTGCCCCCTCTCACAGCCCCTGTGCCCCCCGTGCCCCTCACCACAGTCCATTTGCCCCCCACCACAGCCCCTGTGTGCCCCATCACAGCCCCCATGCCCCTTCTCTCAGCCACTCTCCCCCACACCACAGCCCCTGCCCCCCACCAAAGCTCTTGTGCACCCACCACAGCCCATTTGCCCCTCTGCCCTGAGAGAGCCCCTGTCCCCTCTCTCAGCCCATGTGCTCCACCACAGTTCCTGCCTCCCCCTCATTCTCTGCCCCCCTTCACTCAGCCCCTGTCTGCCTTTACACCCCACAGTCCCTGTGTCCACCTCCAATGCCTGTGTGCCCCCTCTCTCAGCCCCTGTCCCCACCACAGCCCCTGTGCCACAGCCCTCTCTCAGCCCCTGTACCACTTCTCAGCCCCTCTCCCCCCTCTCTAAGACCCTGTGCCCCTTCTAAGCCCCTGTCCTCCACCACAGCCCCTGTGCACCCCAACAAAGCTCCTGTGCTCCCTCTCAGCCCCTTTCCCCCACCACAGCCTCTCCTCCACCACAGTTCTCTCTCAACCTTTGCCCCCTCTCTCAGCCCATGTGCCCCCTCATGTGCCCCCTCTTAACCCCTGCCCCCCACCAAAGCTCATGTGCCCCATCACAGCCCCTGCCCCTTCTCACAGCCCCTGTGCCCCCCATCAAGGCTCATGTGTCCCCCACCAAAGGTCCTGTGCCCCACCACAGCCCCTGTCCCTTCTCACAGCCCCTGTGACCAACACCAAAGCTCCTGTGCTCCCCACCACAGCCCCTGTCCCTCTCTCAACCCCTGTGCCCCCACCACAGTTCCTAACTCAGCCCCTATGCCCCCCACCACAGCTCCTGTCCCCTCTCAGAGTCCCTGTGCCCCATCACAGTCCCTGTCCCCTCTCTCAGTCCCTGTGCTCCATCAAAGTCCCTGTCCCCTCTCTCAGCCCCTGTGCCCCCAACTCAGCCCCTGTACACCACCAAAGTTCCTGTGCCCTCTATCAGAACCTATTCCTCCACCACAGCCCACGCCCCTCTCAAATCCCCTGCACCCCCAACCCCTTCAAATCTCCTGTGCCCCCTCTCACAGCTCCTGTCTCCCCCACCGCAGCCCCTGTCTCCCCACCACAGCCCCTTCCCCCTCTGACATCCCCTGTGCTCCCACCAAAGCTCCTGTGCCCCCCACCACAGCCCCTGTCCCTCTCTCAGCACCTGTGCCACCATCATAGTTCTTGCCTCAGCCCCTGTGCTGCCGACCACAGCCCCTGTCACTCTCTCAGCACCTGTGCCCCCACCACAGTCCCTGCCTCAGCCCCTGTGTCCCTGACCACAGCCCATGTCCCCTCACCCAATCCCTGTGCCCCCCACCACAGCCCCCATATGCCCAACAAGTGCCCCTGCCCCCACCACAGCCCCCATTCCTCTTTCTCATCCCCTGTGCCCTCACCACAGTTCCTGCCTCTGCCCCACACCAATGCTCCTGTGCCCCCTCTCAACCCCTATTCCCCCATCATAGCCCCTGCCCCACTGAAAGCCCCTGCAACCCCACCACAGCCCCTGTCTCCCCCTCCACAGCTCCTGCCCCCTCCAATAACCATGTGCCTCCCACCACAGCCCCTTTCCCTCTCTCAGCCCCTGTGCCCCCACCACAGTTCTTGCCTCAGCCCCTGTGCCCCCGACCACAGTCCCTGTCCCCTCTCTCAGCCCCTGTGCCCCCCACCAAAGCTCCTGTGCCCCACTCAAACAATTTCTACTTGTAATACATATCACAAGATATGGCAGAAGTTTGCAGACTGGCAAAAGGTGGAGGTGTTTTGACTACTCAAGCATTAGGATTTTTACAATCCGGGCTTGACAAAGGCCTCAGCCTCAATACTCTGAGAGTATATTGTTCGGCATTATCAGCTATATCAGGAATAAGATGGGCGGAAGATTCAATGGTGATTCGATTCTTGACAAGACTGTCATCAGACTCAGACCTCCAATCCGTACCTTTATGGCTCCTTGGGATCTTCCTTTGGGTTTACAAACTCTCAGACTCTCCTTTTGAACCACTGGAAGAGATTTCTATCACTATGCTTTCTCAGAAATCGTTAGTTCTTCTAGCATTAGTATCAGCCAGGAGAATAGCAGATATTAAAGCCCTTTCGGTGGAAGAACCTTACATGTCCTTCTTTCATGATCAAATAATCCTTCCTACTTAAGATGGTGTGACAGACCGCCTGGTACCCCGCCCGGGTACCTCCATCAATCTGTCGGGCGCTAGCCGCTCACAGCAAAACCCCTCTTATGACGCGGCGCATGCCGACATCATCAGGATTTTGCCGCGAAAATTCAAAAGTGGCCACGCTCCCGGACCTTTTGGGGGCGTGGCTTTAAAGCAAAACACACCTCACTATATAAGGGGGCCCCTGTCCTTCCCTCAGTGCCCTAGTGTGGTTCTTGTTTGTTCCCTCTAGTGCTCTTGACAATTGTGTTTGTTTTCTGGTATATTGACCCTTGGCTTTCCTTACTGACTATTCTCCTCTCTGGCTTCCCAAATTTTGGCTTGGTTGTTTCTCGTGTATTCCGTGTTCTGTACTCCCTTGACCTCTGGCTATTCTTTTGACTATGCTCTGACGTTAAGCCCGGCCACCCTAAGGTCCGGTATACGTCTCTTACTGGGTTACTCTCTGCGTGAAGGGGTCACTGTCGTGACAGGATCCAGCTTTCAGTGGGTAGACCTCTTAGTCCAGAGAGCGTAGCAGGAACAGCTCTTAGAAGAGCTAGTGATTATACTCAGGGGAGTATAGTGATTATAGCAATCCCCAGAGTGTATGTTGTTCTCCAATCCCCCAAATCTGAGCCAAAACTTCATGAAGGTGCAAGATGAGCTGATCTTTTAATGGTTCAGGTTGGCTTTTATACAATTCTTCAGGCCAGAAAACACCCCCTGGACCTGATGGGGCACAGGAACACAAAGGACACAAACCAATCAGAACAAACATACCGTCTGTGACACTCCCATGTACAGCACACAATCCCTGCCCTCTGCTTGGGAGATAATTGAGTAAAGTCCTGTGAGTAACTCAATTATCTACAAGCAGAAAAAACACATTTTCACAAAGTTCAGAAAGTACCCCAAAACATAACATACCCCCAAAACATTCCCGGATAGCCCTGATCTGGGTGAACAACATATCCAAAAATCACCCAGATCAGAGCAGGGGTTCAAAAATTTAATGGAAGTCTCTTTTTGACTAGCTGCAAGCATGGTTTCATGCCCAAAACAGTTCCAGAGAATCAGGGCTTGTGGCTGGTCTAGTTCGGTAGTTTGCAAACGAACAAACTACTGAACTAAGTCAATAGTCTTGCCCTGGAGCTTATTCGCTTCATCTAGATGAATGATCTCACTGAACAGTGACCTTTTAAGCTGAATAGAAACGAATGCAGGCGATGATGGAAGTTCAGCGGTGTTTGGGAGTTTCTGTATCTGATTTCAGTTCCATGAGATGCCCAAACACCGTTGCCTGCATTCATGCGAACAAGATGGTCACCACCTTGTAGTTGTTCAAAGGAATCGTGGCCACCCAGACGAACAATTAGAACACTGTGGTGAGAAGCGTTCCAAGTTGTTAATAGGTGTTAACAAGCTCCAGGGTGGTCTCTGTTCGTGCGGTTGTTCGGTAAATGAACCATATAGTCCCAATTGCACGAACAGAGCCTATTTGAAGTATATTAGCCAGTTCAATTGCAGGGGCCATAGTCACAGGGTAGGAGGCTGGCAAACAGGCTCCTCCAAAAACTTGTGGCAAATTCACAGAAAAGGGGAGTTTGTCACAGATGGTTTCTTCCTTTCATTTAAACCAGGAAATTGTGCTACAAGATATTTTCTTGATCCATCTTCTCCTGAAGAAGAAAGATGTCATAAACTGGATTTAATGGATTCTTATCAGCCTACATTCAGCGTACTGCTGCACGGAGGAAATCCAAGCAAATGTTCATCATTCCTTAGGGTTCACATAAAGGAGAAGCCACTTCAACCGCTACTCTTCATTGATTGTCACAGCCATCACTAGAGCATATAAATCACAAGAGGTTCCAGTACCGAAGGAGATCAGGGCTCATTCAACAAAGTTCATTTCTACCTCTTGGGCTGAAGTAGCTGGTGTTCCAGCAGAGAGCATTTGTAAGGCAGCAAATTGGTGTTCACTAAAGACATTTGTCCAGCACTATAGAGTGGGTGTTGCTTCAGTGGCCGAATCTCAATTTGGTCTTTCTGTCTTGAATTTGTTTAATAAATAGTTGGCATGATTACCCACTCTGTAGTTTTTACTACTTGGGTATTCCCTTTGGTTAAATGCTGCCATGATTAGCCAGGAATAAGTAAAATGTATCCATACCTACTGTAATTTGACTAAGGAACTGGGGCTAATGGGCACCCTAATATACCTGCACACTTAATAGTTTAATTAAGTTTTTCCTGTCCTATTAGTGGCAGGAGCTAGCCAATTAGTTAAATGCTGCCATGAATAATAACCAGGAAAATAAAATTATGGT